TTTTTAACATATTAATAAACCATAGCTTCATAATGTATGCATAGTATTTGGTGGTGACAGCTGGCAAAGCGCTTTCTATCAATCATTATTGCATGACATAAGAAAGATTTTCAAGCAATATGGAAAAGAAATGCAAGTTACTAAACACAATTCACTGACAAATGGATCTTTCAACTTTCGCATCCAGTTTGAAGAGATAAACAACTATGCCCATTCACTTGCTAAGTCACGTTGTCTAAATTCTCAGGGAAATTTACACCGAGAACTGTATTGCAATTCCTTATACAACCCCCCCCCCCCCCCCAAAAAAAAAAAAAAAAAAAAAAAAGAAAAAAAAAAGAGAGGAACTTTTAAAGGATAACAAGCTTCTGTGTGGAGATGTAGAGTTTTACATGCTAGGTCTTAATGTGGTTGATTACATCCGAATCACTTGTAGGTTTCTCCAGCTCCTCATTTAATGTTTCACAGTTGTTGACCTACATATATTGTTGCTTTTTAGCTGTTCTTTTTTACTGTGTTTAACTGGTGATAAGTTAACCCTTGAGTTTCTTTTTCGTAATTAACAATTGGCATTGTTTGTTCATTCTTACGAATAATGACTTGCACGGCTGCACTTCACAATCATCAAGTTCTTTATTGTAAAATTGTTTGTGTGGTTGCCTCTCCTTCAGCTTTGTTTCTCCCCTGTCAGGTGCAAAATCTCATAGAAAGATGCCTACAACTTTACATGAACCAGAAGGAAGTTGCCAATACCCTCTTACATCAGGCAAAGATTGAGCCTGGCTTCACTGAACTTGGTGATTCCTTTCTCTTTTCATCTGGTTTCTTCTTTTGCTAATATGAAGCTTTTGGAGAGTAGGCTATTTGTTGTTATTTCAGTTTCTAAAAGAGAAAATACTTAGTAGGCCTCTGGATGTTTGTTTTACAATTTTGTAATTTTGTTCATTATTTCAACTTCAACTTGAAATATAAAACTTGAAAATGAAAAACCAGTTTTGAGTATTTCATGTGAGTTTCTCATACCTCTATTTCATGGAAGAATTATTAATATGTAGAAAATAATTTTTAAGTTCGGAGTGCCGGAAATGAATTTACTGAATTTTAGATAATTTAAGGATTCTGCTGACTGCTGAGTCTTCATTAGTTAAGATATGCAAATAACGTCATTCTGAAAAAAAATAAAAAAATCTGTAAGTAACGTTGCTATCTATGTGCTCCATGTGTATCTACATAAAAGAGATGAATGTAATCTTGAACTTTTTCCAGTGTGGCAAAAGCTTGAAGAAGAAAACCAGGAATTTTTCCAGGCATATTATTTGAGGTTGATAGTGAAGGACCAAATACAGAGATTCAATGACTTGCTTCACAGACAGCTTGAAACAATGCAGATATATCAAGCTGGTTCCAATGCCATTTCTAATGGTTCGCAGATTCGGCCAAGTAAGATATAACTAGCGGAGATTCTTCTATTGACCTTCCTGGGATTATTGTTGTGTTTGAATCTCTTTCATAATGGTTTCACTCCTACGCCCAACACATTCTTCAACCATTCTTCTTGCTCATGTTTTTACTTAGTTTTTTCCCTTAAAATTGTCCGAGTATATCTTTGTTAGTAAAATATTTTTAATGGATACTCATGGGAATGGTCTAACCCATCATTTTAGTGAAGAAATACTGTAGTTATATGATGTCAAACCCCCCACAAAATTGTATATATCTTACATGAAACCAAGTTTCTGTACAAAGAGCATCCCATTATCAAAACTGAGTAGAACATATTGGATGAACTATGATCCTCTTTTCTTTTTGATTGTTTACCTTGATCTCTACTCTCTAGGATTATATTTCTATGGAATTGCCATTTGCTTTTTGAGTTTGTTTTGATTCAGGGTGAAGTAAGAGACATAAAATTGTATAGTTTCCATACACAATTTTTTCAACTGCTGGTGCAACACTGGCTACACAATATTGTACATGCTTATACACTTCGGTGCCCGTCTTAATGTTTCAATCTAGCTTTCATCATCTTCTGATGAATTGTTAAATAAGGGAAGTGACATTATGGTTGTTAAATATATGTAGTGCCTCAGAACTCAACATGTCAAGCGACAGAACATGCTGGACCTAGTGTGAAGCCTGAGAACATGAACCAGACTGTTAATGCCAATTTACCTCACATATACACTAATGGTGCGTCCTCACTTCAGCCATGGACGCAAGTTTCTGTTGATGTGTCTGCTAATGGAGGAGGAATTGATGCATCGACAAACATGCTATTGGCTCAGAGCTCAAATGTGGGAGTGATGCAAGGACAGAATGGGGGGATGGTCAAATCAGAAGCAGTTTATTCAGGAAATTTGCCGTTCCTCTATGGTACGGAGAGCAATATCGTTGAAGCTCGTCCAGAAACTGGGGATGCATCTGGTTCATCTTTCAGCAGCGGAGAATCAAACTCTCAAGTGCTGAATGAGTCTGTATTGGATGCTGATTCAACTTCATTTGGGTTCTTGGGGCATATTCCTCGAAACTTCAGTTTGTCAGATTTAACAGCAGATTTTTCCAACAGTTCTGGTTTGTGCTTGCCTTATCTTCTGAGTTAATATATCACTTCTGTGCAGAGCTTTATCTTTCTCATATCTGCTCTTGCAGATATAATGGAGAGCTACTCTGGATCGGCCTTCCTAGCAACAGATACTGGCAATTTCCTGGATCCTCATGGTAGTGAAGAAAATCAAGGTTGTGTGGCATCTCAATTCTGGTATTCTCTTTTTATGGTTAATTTGGAAAAGAAAGTCTCACTACTCAATAGCTCTCTCTGTCTTCTTTTGGCACATATCAATATGAAACAGAACAATGTCATTTCCTGGCATACCAAATATAAGGGATTGTTAGAAGAAAGCCCGTATATTGGACTTATAGGTTGGGTGCTTATTTTAGGTCATAAAGTGCTCACATGCGCAGCAAAAAGAGGTGAACTTTGAAGATGAGTTATGGGAACCTACCAATAATGATATCTACTTAACTTTCTGCAGATATCAAGAGATTGGATGCTATATCAGAAGGCTTGAGTTATGATGATTTTGCCAGCGATTGAGTGAACTTTCATTCTGATGGTACCATCTTGCAATTTTATCCTCAATATGTGGACTATCATGTTTAGAAATATAGTTTGCACCTATACTCCAGCTTAATGTCCTAAGATGAGCAATTTTTCTTTGTGTAGTATTTGTTGGGTTAGCTCCTATGACTATCACATTTTATTTAGTTTGAATGATTTCTATCCTTACAGGTCCAATTATTCCAGTACAATGTTCTGTAAGTACGTTTGCGAAAGTGGAATTGCTTCACCCCTTTTTGAAGGCATTGGTTGGTTTCAATCAAGGGTATAACTCAATCGATATGGTTGATCTTGCATGAGGTATGGGGAGTAGGAAATAATGTAATCTAAGTAGTTGTGCAAAATGAGGTCAGTCATAGAAATTAGAAACAAAACATATTATGATGTATAAGTTGTAAATAGAGCTGTGATTGTGAAGATCTGATGTAATGTGTAGTCGAGAATACTTGAACTTTTGTTTTTCTCGGGTACTATTTTCTCTTTCCTTTTAATTTTATTGTTCTGGTGGGAGAAGGGGGTGGGGGGATTCAAATATCTCTTTTATGTTGGTTTTGCAAATTTTTGGGGGTACTGACATTATGATTTATTCAATCCAATGCTTGAACTTGGATGATTGCTGATGTGTTCTGAAAGAGCACGGAGCTGTTAGTGTCAATGGCTATGGAATTATTCCACGTGGGGAAATTTGTAATGCAACTCTGTTCTTTAGTAGTTGCAAATCCCAACTTGTAATGACTCTACTGCTTAATTAATAAATTAAGTATTCTCTTTTTGACCAAAAGAAGGGTTAATCTTTAAGTTATAGTCTCGTGTATTTATTCTCTTGGCTTCCTCCATTTCTCTATTCAGACATTTGATGCAAAGTCTAGTTGGAGGAGTTAGCAAATCGACTTATTCTTAACTTTTGCTGGAGAAACGATGACTTCACCGAAATATAAAGAAGGAAAAAAGAGTGTCTTTCACANGGGGGGGGGGGGGGGATTCAAATTTCTCTTTTATGTTGGTTTTCCAAATTTTTGGGGTACTGACATTGTGATTTATTCACTCCAATGCTTGAACTTGGATGATTGCTGATGTGTTTTGAAAGAGCACGGAGCTGTTGGTGTCAATGGCTATGGAATTATTCCACGAGGGGAGATTTGTCATGCAACTCTGTTCTTTAGTAGTTGCAAATCCCAACTTGTAATGACTCTACTGCTTAATTAATAAATAAAGTACTCTCTTTTTGACCAAAAGAAGGGTTGATCTTTAAGTGATAGTCTCGTGTATTTATTCTCTTGGCTTCCTCCATTTCTCTATTCAGACATTTGATGCAAACTCTAGTTGGAAGAGTTAGCAAATCGATTTCTACTCTACTTTTGCTGGAGAAACGATGACTTCCCCGAAATATAAACAAGGAAAAAAGAGTGTCTTTCACAAAGCAATTGAGCGAAGAACCAAACTGCAAAATCAGGCCAAGGGACCACTACAGACCCTCGTGAAGAAATCTTTTTCGTATGATGTTGTAAGGCATGATGTGTTATATATAGACTAGTCTTGGCGTCTTGCTCAAAGACAGCTATATTTCAGACAAATGCAGGGCTCATCCTGATATATTTGCCTCTGGTTTAAGATACAATAAATTGAATGTATCAATATGAGATCCCTGGGAAGAGTGATGGGTTTCAACTTTCATAGTGCCATGGGGAAGGAAAGATAATTCAGCCACCACATTATCATTGTTTATGCTATAATCAATATTTGCTGTTGGTTGAGATTCAGATATTTGCCTTTTCGTTGTTTCATTGGTATAGTGTTTATTTAGTTTGTTATGAGTGGCAGTTGACAGTTGTTTTCTAGTCATTAAATGCTCTGGATTATTATAGAGTCAGAAATATTCGACTGTTGAACTTGCGCAACTTCATTGCTTATATCATTCTTTCCAAAACCCAGAGGTGCAGAAACAACAAGATGACATTTAACACCATGCCTTTCATCACCTTTAGTTAAGCTAACTCTTGGATTTATGAACAAACTGGTAACTACAAGAGAGAGCACACGTTGAGTATACGAGTGCCAGCTGACGATCCCCTAGCTGGCAATCTTGACTCATCGCGTGATGCAAACTGGCATTTATTTGAAAGGGCATCAAGATTGGCATCTGTAATCCACGAGATAAACTCTAGTGAAGCGCCTGAAGTTATGCAGGCCCAGTTCTAAGTGCATTGTCTAGATCGGCTATCAAATCATTGACATCTTCAATCCCAACAGAAATTCGAACTAGATCCTCAGTAAGACCTCTAGACTCGCGTACTTCAGCAGGTATAGCCACATGGGACATGAAGCAAGGCAGGCATATGAGTGACTTCACACTTCCTGCAAATTTGGGGGGACCAGAAATGAGGATTGAGTCAAAGTAAAATGTACTAATGGAACAGATGACATGTAAATGAGGCATACTTTGGAGATTTAAACACCCTTCTAGCAAGAACCAAGATAGATCACTAGGAAATCATTCACTTCAGTCTGTAACTTCATCCTGTGGACTGCAGGTTTTTCGTTACAGCTAACAAAAGGATACTTTTTTTTGGCTTTTCGATGGTAGAGTAATTTACAAATTTCCTTATATCATTTTTATTCTCTGCTGTCACACAGAACCCACAATTTTAAGGGGGTATAATGGACTGAGCGATAACTCTATAAAAAAATATCTGAATCTCAGCTATTTTTCCTCAAGTAAACTAGCCTAAAAGGGAACTGATTCGACACACTATTCCAAAGGAATTCACTTCCAGAGCTAAAATGGAAGTGCTAATAAATTTCTGCATTTAATATCACATGCAGCGTCAGTATTTCTTACTTCTCGATCTATTCTATTATAGAGGTTCATAACGAATTAAGAATATCCATAGTCCTTCGCTGAGTTTTACAGCGACAAAGCAAATGTTGCTTTTGTTAAAGAAGACAAAAGTGCAGATATAAAAGTTGAGATGTGATTTTATGCATTTTCTATAGGTAAAATTTGAACTTTAATATTGGAAAAAGAGGATAGAGTATAAGATGAAACTCACCAAAACTGACAGTAATGCTGAAGTATTTGGTTGCCTCAACTACATGCTTAGAGAGTGCCAATGACCCTGTAAAAAAACTCAGTACAGATCCTGCACCCTTGGTCTGTAATACCAGCATGAAAAAGTCAAATGCCAATTGAAAACATAGAATTGATGCTAAACTTAGACAAGTAAAAGTTGGGAATAAATAGTGATACCTGAGAATAGTGCAAAGATCTGCCAGGATGGTCGGGAAGACCAGCATAGTTAACCTTCTTCACTCGAGGATGGGATGATAGAAATTCAGCAATCTTTTGTGCATTTTCCTGTCATATTGTGGAAACACATAGCGCCCATATATAGATGTAACTTCGACAGAATCTTTTCTGAATGCTATGATTGTCAGGCAAGCACTCACCAGTGAAAAGTAAACATAAGAGGAAAAAGGAACTCTGAATTTAATGCAATGAGGTAAAATTGGAGAGCAACATGAATTCTCTACACGAATCTACAAGTTTCTGACTGGAATAAAAAAGTTGTACAAACTCTAGAACCTAATGTAAGTGTAACAACAACTAAGTACCCGAAAAAGCTAAGTTTAATTCCAACTTTTCAATATTCCAATTTTGATCTTTTGCTTCTACTTTGTTCTGTTTTTAGCTAAATCCTTATTGATTCTGAGAGATCATAAAACTTTTGAGACAGCTTCTCTCCGTTGTAATATTTGGTCTACCTTGTCCTCTTTTATCGCCTTCAGTTATCATATTGCTGCATCATTGGACCGTGCATATGGGGGTCTCAATAGTCCCAAAAAGTTTCTCACTCTCTAGGAACAAGAATAATAGATTTGATGAAGGCAGGCATATGCCTATGAAAAAAGTTGTATAGCAAGCAATCACAGCACATGAAACTAAAAAGCAAGAAAATCCAATACCTGCTGCTTTAATACACGCAATGCCATTGTTTTGATCCCTCTTAAGTAAAGCCAGCAATCAAATGGGGCTAAGCCTGCACCTTCTGAGTTTTGAAGGAAGTATATGTTCTTTGCCAAGCTGGTTTAAATGAAAAATTATTAGCACGACACCGAAAAGATACACAAAATTAATACTCCGAAAGAGACACAATGCATTGACATCATTGAGGTAAGTTAATAATTTCCCGAGAGACTGATGTATGCAATAGTTATTTAGTAACTGCGACTTCAGGTAATTGAATATACAAAGCGAGATGACCTAATAAGAAGGTTGCTTTTCAAGTATTTTATGTTCAATCTCCCTAATCTGATAGTTTTGGCCATGAAAGCAACTCAAGGACACAAAGGATGAAGTGAAAAAATATGATAACCGTAGATCAAGCCATGAAACGAATATGATCATATCAAAGAAGAAAACACCTTTCTCCTTTAACAGCTAGTACGCCCCCCATCAGATCACTATGTCCAGATATAAACTTAGTAGCTGAATGCATCACAAAATCTGAAAAATAACAGACCATTTAAGGTAATCAGCATCTTGCAAATGTTACCACGAGAAAGTTCATGTTACCATAAGAAGAAGTATCTGTAGATACCTGCTCCGAGCTCCAAAGGATGGGACAGTACAGGGGACATGATACTGTTATCTACCAGTACAAGAGCCCCATGTGCATGAGCCATCTCAGCTATTTTCTGGTAAAAGTCAGCAGGAAAAAACGCATATAAGAAAAGTGAAATTCTTTTGATGAAGTAATTAGTTTCATTGACAGCATCAAGCAGATTCAGTGAGTATAAATTATGAATTGATATTTAATGGACTTAACATATCAGCAATCAAGTAAAGAGAGAAACAATATTTGCATAATCTACATATGCCAAAACCGGTTACTCACACGAATATCACAAATTTGCTGACGAGGGTTGGTTGGACTCTCCAGCCAGACAAGCTTTGTATTTGGTCCGATTGCAGAGGCAACCACGTCTAAGTTAGTTGTATCCACCCGTCTGTTAACAAAGTAAAGATTAAAACACTAAAAACCAAATAGAGAACTAAGTTCATTCAGAAAAAAGAGATACTAACTTCACTATAACTCCAGTCTTTGGAATTACTTGTGACAACAGGCGGTCAGAACCACCATACATATCATCACCAGCAACAATCTCTTCACCTAAGAAATTATCATTGGTAGAGTTAAAGATGTTCTATAGCTAGGAATCCGTAGCTTGTGGAGATACTAAACCAACTTGCAATAACATGTCGAAAATGAAGTCAGTAACAGATATTAATAAAGAAATAACTAGCAAAAAGAAGGTATCTTTTGCTTTTTCATGGAGCGAGGGGGGTTGGAGGGAGAGAAAAGAACATGCAAACACAAATTGAACAAAGATTCAAGGTCTCGAAAAGAAGGCATAAAGCATCTCTCATTAGCACAATTAAACCAGATATGTATATTGTTCATTCAGCCTTTCTAATTTTGTATGAAGAAATTTTGCAAGTACCAGTTCCAACAAGACGAGCTACAGCTGCCAAAGCAGTCATTCCACTAGTAAAGCAAAATGCTCTATCTGCTTTCTCAAGCTTGGCAAGGAGCCTGAAAAGTTGAAAGGAGATAATGGTAATGAACACAGAAATTGTTAGCACCTAAGTTCCTATTAGTAGCTGTAACATACCTTTCCAGTACATCCCGTGTTGGATTTCCGCTCCGTGTATAATCATAAGGTCCAAATTCTGTGGCTGAAGGCTGCAGAAGGAGGTAAAGTTTTTCATGATTCATGTAAATGAAGAAAAGAATTAAAATATTGTTTATTTATCCAACATTTAATTGTGTATTGAATAAAAATGCAGCTTCAAAGTCATATAATGAATTACATTTCATAGCCTAAGAGCTCTTTCGAACTTACTTGCTTAAAAGTAGACGTTTGATACAGTGGAGTACTCATGGCATCATAAGGATCAAACTCATTGCTGAAGTTCATTAACATTGTTGAAACACTAGGCTCAATTGGCTCCTCAATTTCAATATCAGGTAATTCCATAGCCTCCATATCTGCCATCCGTTAATATGTACTATAAGTCCTGAGAGTAAAAAGGGCAGCCCGATGCACTAAGCTCCCGCTATGCGCGGGATCCAGGGAAGGGCAGATCACAAGAGTCTATTATCAGCCTTACCCCGCATTTCTGCAAGAGGCTATTTCCACGGCCTGAGAATAAATAACTAAAAACATTTTTATGCTTTGGCTACCAATAAATTTGGTACATACCGTCCGTTAAGTCAGCAACACAATCAACCAAAGCTGCTGTAGAGACATCCATCTCTTTCTCTCTTGAGCAATTCAATTGGTATTTTTTCACCCTTAATGTTTGAGTACTTCCATTCTCATTCAAGTTTACTTTGCAAACAGAAGTCACTGGACATTTTCCCTGTACATTAGCACAACCTTCTATCAGATGCAACATTTTCTTGATAGGCTGCCAAAGAAATTACCAAGTGGAGTAGTCCAGCTAAACAAAACAATAAGAATATAACAACAACAATAAGAAACTTGTGTAATCCCACAAGTGGGGTCTGGGGTCGTGTGTACGCAGCTGCCCTGAGCAGGTAGAGAGGTTGTTTCCAATCAACCCTCGGCTCAAGGAAAGATGAAAAAAAAAAAGCGGTAGCAACATGCAGAAATAACAACGATCGAGAAAAACAAAACAATAAGAACAAGAAACAAAAAGATAGAGACTTTTCTTTGCACACAAAGATTTTCTTTAAGCTAATACAAGCATACAAAAAGAGATTTTTTTTTTTGGTTTCTCAAGCTTAAATTGACTTAATATACAACCCAATTCAAGATTTTGTATACTCTTTCTACCCTAACAATTATATATTATTCCAGTAACAAATAGATACCAAATTCAAGATTTTGTGTACAGAGGAAGTGGCAGGTAAATACTTGGTTGTAAAGGTAAGCAGGTAGAGTAATGTAGGCAGATTTGAGAGACAGAGATGATGCCATTTTTAGTACACTGAGCAATGGTATGAGTAAGGTTTTAATGTAGTTTGATTACCTATATATAGGAGGCAGAAATTTTGTCCATTTTAGCAGTGCCTACATAAGTGGAACAAACTAAAGATTACAGGCCCTATTCCTAAGTGATGGTTAAAGAAGAATAATTAGAATATTTCTCTCTTTCTTCACTCTATATTTGACACGTGTTACTGCACAATAAGTTTCTAACTGCAATGTAGACTGTTACTCTGGAGATTTGGACTGAGATCTTCCGACATTAAAGCACAATTTCAAAATAAGCTTTGTTTCGGCCAAATGTATAAGGTTGTTTTCAGGTCCAAATACAATAAAATAAAGATTAGTTTACAAGAGCGAAACTGAAGATAAAAACAATTGAAGGTTAAATGTACCAATTCTTTTATAATGGTAATATCCAGAATAGTTTGTGCATAACTTAACTAATTTTACGAGATGTTTATTTATTCCATTGGCATAAATATCAGATAACTTTATCGAAGTTGAATGAGAGCCTCTAATGCTGCCACACCCTTAATTGCTACTCATACCATTTTTCCCAAAAAGAAAAATAAAACGCCCTTAATTTCAAAATAAATAGGCGCAAACTTCCTTGAAAATCAGTGCCGGCTGAAGGGTGAGGCGGCCAAAGCAATGGCTTTAGGCCCCTAAAATTTTGGGGGCACATTTTTCACTAGTAGTAGTACTTTTATAAGTTACCACTATTTTTTTTAGAAAAAATTTGAATAGCTTAAAGTAAAACGCATAATTTATAATTTTAAAAAATCTTTGATATGTTATGAATGTTAACCATTAAAATTTGAATAATTCGAAACGTCTGAAAATATTTTTAATTATTTATTTTGTGAGAAAAATTTGAGATCACTAAGAGATACGAATCTAAAAAATGTCTCAACCTCGATAAAAACATAATAGTCACTCTGATATTGATCGATTAAACTTAATTTTCCAATTAAAAGTATTAAAAAGAAATACTACAAGTAGAAGACAATATTCTAATTAATATACTCGATCAGATAATAAAACCAATTTTTTTCCTCAAATACCTATATTATTCATAGAATAATATTACTATAACAGTTATATTTGTGGAAAAAAGTTTGTCTATATTAAAATTATCAATTTTTAGATAGGACTTCACATTTCAAGAAGTTAGGAAAATAGACTTCAAATGAAAATATAAAAAAAATATTTTAATAAAAAAAGAATTAAGGCCTCTCATCAAAATTTGGCTTTAGGGCGCCGACAATGTTGAGCCGCCCCTGATGAGAGTTTATTACACAAATTGTCACTCCACTATTTGAATAACCTTGTAAAGTCATATTGTTTTTATTTATAAAAGAAAAGTTACTTAACTATTTTTATAACACCCAAAAGGTCACTCAACTTTATTTTTCAAACTTTCGACAAATACTTATTTTACCTTTTAATGAAGGAACTGAATTAGTTTCAGTATCATTAATTGGACTAATTTGCTATAAAATCAGCATCCCAATTACAATTATACCAATCTAAAGCTCAAACAATGCCGCATTAGTCCCAAAAATATTGGGAAAATTTCATATAAGAATAACCGGACTCCGTACTTTTCAATTTTATAATCCATATTTTAATTTACAACAAATTAGGCCAAAAATAATAGACTAAGATTCAACATTCATTCCAATAGGTTCTAAAAATTACTATTTAATTTTTAAAAAAAATTCCTCAAGCTTTTAAGTTAATTTTTGAATCAGTAACTATGACTCAAATAATAATTCAACAAACCAAATCCATTTGGGTGGTGAAAATTAGATTTTTAACAAGCTTAAATATGTGGTTTAAATTCCGAATTTGATTTTGTGAGAACTTTGGAGTGGATTTTATTTAGAATTGTTAGAAATAATATAAGGAGATTGTATATAAAATTTGAAATCATTTAATGAAGATTTGGACTGGTTTTGAACAAGAATTGCAACTGAAAATCGTGAAAGAAGTTCGTCATATACACTATTATAAAAGATGTATAAAGATGTATAAAAGTGTATAAAATGTGTTTATACACTCATATACACTATTATACAAGATTATACATAATTATATAAAAAACTGACTTCGTCTTCTTTCTTGCATCTTTTCTGAAATTTAACTCAAAATCTTGCTCAAATCTACTCCAAATCACTTCAAATTTAAATTTTGAACTTCTTTTGATATTTTCAATTAATTAGAACAAGACCCAATCCAAACAACTAACAAACTCAAAAAATCCATTTTCGAAAGCAAAACTTTGAATGATCTTTAATGGTGGACTTCTACTCTTCAATTTTCTTACATTGCAATCAGGTAACACAAGAGGAGAAGCAAAAAATATACGGTCCCTTGAAGCATATGTGGAAGATGTGAGAAGAAGAGGGAGTGAAAGCAATGGTTGTGAGAACACAAATTTAACTCCATAGCTTTTAGAAGCAATGGTTGTAAGAACATATATTTTAAATTTGCTAGTGCTTTCAAAATATGAGCAATATAGTTAGGTCGGGTAATATTTAAAAACATAGGCCATTTTTTGTTATGGGGTGAAGTCATGTATATTTTCTAGTAATTCCTTCAAAAATATTTCCTATAGTTTGCAATACTTATAACATTTTAATTTTTTTTAAATCGTGACTACAATTTAAAATGGAAAAAAATATGACATGCAAATGAGAGCATCCTTGGGTGTTAAACGTAAAAATTGCATGGGATGTCCTATTTGGTCGCCCCTATTTAACCTATACTCATTTTTTTAAATTTTTTTAACTTGTACCCACTTTTTAAATAACTTCAGCTCCCTTTCTCCTCCCCCTTCTCCTCCTTCATTTTCTTTTTTCTTCTTCTACAATGATGACTTCAACATTGCTCTCTTTAATTAATGAAGCTAAAACAAATATAATGAGGATATTACTCTGGTTGGCATGGAGGATGACTTCAACGACATAAGATATTAAGTCTTGTACCAGCCAAGCAAATCCATACAACATAGCCACCAGTTTCTGAACAGAGCCAAATCGATAAATAATTTGATGAGATAATAACTTGATGCATAGAAATTTGTGAAGAATCTTGTCACTGTTCCACTGTATGATTCTTCTCGTGACCATGGGAAGGCACGAAACAAGAACTGTGAAGTAACTTGGGTTGGAAACAGATGAAGTAAAGTAAGCCACCCTCATCCTTAAAATACTTTTGTACTCCTAAAAGCAAGTGAAAACCTTTTATGAAAAAAGAACCGACATACATATATACATGCTATCGCATAGTTATGGAAGTTACAAAGACAAAAACTTCAGTTCTAGAGCTGAAGTTTCCCAGTTACAACACAAAAACTTCAGCTCTAGAGCTGAAGTTTTCAGTTATAACACAAAAACTTCAGCTAGAGCTGAACTTCAGGCCCGGCTACTAGAATGCTGAAGTTTTGCGTGATTGCCTTTGCTACTTCAGCCCCGTGTGCTGAAGTTATACGAAAAAGCGGGTACGCTTGCAATTTTTTTTTTGTAAAGTGGGCACAAGTTAAAATGTGACACAAAAAGCAGGTATAGATGCAAATCTTGCACTGTTTTAGCTCAGTTACAAGTTTGCAAATGTATAGCCAAATATCAATAAGACCTTTTTTTTACCATTCCCTCTAACTATAACAGCATGATTTTTTTTTCATCACCTACCTACCGTATTGTAACTCTCTCCTCATTTTTTTTTTACCATTCCCTCATTTTAGTGTAACCATTGATCGAGACACTCAGTCAACACTCATTCATGCCTTCTCCCATAACCTATATTTATGTTTTTTTTTTGTTTTCTTATTTTGTGTATCTTTAGGCGTGAAATATCCGTGAGTTTTTATTCTCTTTTTTCCTCAAATTTACACATACATATCACAACAACAAAACACAAAATCAAATGTGAGAAACCTAAAATCTCATCTCGTTCAATGCTAATCTTCTTAAATTTCGATTTTGGAGTGGGTATTGTTTGAACTTATTAGAAATAGTCTAAGTAGGTTGTATACATAGTTTGAAGTTATTTGCTGGAGTTTTGGAGTAGTTTTATACAAGAATTGCAAGTGAAAATCATACAAAAAGTTCATTATAGATGCTTATACACTTTTATACAATGTTATACACTTTTATACAAAGAGGTACATTATGTATATAGTTGTATAAAAGTGTATAAAGATGTATAATTGCAGTAGTAAAAATATTAGTGATTCACTATGTATATAGGTGTATAAGAAGAATGAGAAGAAGAAGAAAATGTGAGAAATTCACCAAATACCTGTAAATAATGCATCAACCTTGTATAAAATAGTGTATAAGAGGTTTTATACACTTTATATATTATTTATACAATATTATACATTATTATACAAATGAATCCTATCAATGGAGCTTCAGAGGTTCTTTTTCTTCCTTGGGCGTCCTTTGAAATTTAACTCAAATACAACACAAATCTGCTCCAAATCACTTGAAATTTAAGTTTTGAACTCCTGTTGATAATTCCAATCAATTGGGACCACCCATTTCAAACAACTAACAAATCGAAAAACCCAATTTTCTGAAATCGAATCTTTTGAACTATAAGTGACAAAATTACAGAATAATGCACTTCAAAACAAATTATCATCTTTGAATCTGGAAGAAGAATTGAAGGAGAATAACAATAGAAAAATTTTGGGGTGCAAAGGCGTGACATGGGAAGAAGAAGAAGAACGAAGAAAAAAAAAGGTGGGCTAAGGGCATCTCCAACCCTTGCACCATTTTTTTATACCAAAATGGTGCAAAGTAACTCCAACCCATTACACTATTTTTTACACCAAAAAAAGAATATTTCATTAATATTCTTCTCTCTCTTTTATATTATATTATTTTTTTATAAAACAAATCCCTTTTTACATATTTATCCCATGTAATTCATGTTTCTTTCTTATATAACCATTTAATATAAAATTATTTTATATCTTTAGTTTTTA